GCAAGTTTTAAAATCAATATCGTTTTTGTGATTCCTACACTCATTTTAAAATGCATAAATTATGTCATTTATAAATTTTACTTTTATTTCCCCATCAAATCCCTACTACAAGAATTAAAATGTCAAAATGTAATCCATAATCTTAAATCTTAAGTTTATGTGAGGTTTAAATGAATCAAAATCAAGGACCTTGGCTTAACAGAGACACTAATATAAGTTAAAGGGCTTGATTAAACCCATCAAAACATGACAGGCTGTATTGAACCTTCCTAACAAGTCGAAGGGCTTGATTTGAGTGTTTGGCCAATTGGAATTAATGTTTTCTCAAAAATAATAATAATAATAATCAAACACTCAAACAAACAAAGACTTGTTGTAATTAGGGCTCAAACTCAAATTGTACTCGGTAACTACCATGTTCTCAACCCATTTTCCTTTCAAATTTTCCCGTCAATTTTCTCAGCAACCAAGCAAGCAGCCACTCAACTTGACCTCCCATTCCATTAACTGATGTACAGACTGAAAAGTGAGTCGACAGTCTTACTGCCACTGCTTTGTTCAAGGTACGCTCAATAGAATGCTTAAACCCTTAAACCCATAAAATTCATCAATGGTCAAGCATCCCTTCAAACCCCACCTCCCATCTCTCCTACCGCTGAACAGTTTTGCACTAATCAATAGAAGTAGAACATCAAGAGAAAAGGTAAAAGGATGGAATAAGGACCCAAACTTGCATCAAATTTGCAATTTTGGATCCAAATTTTAATTTTACTCAATTAAAATCTTAAATTATACAAAATTCTCAAACAAGGTACTAACTTACCATCAAATGTCTTACGACTCCGTTAATGTCCATTAACTTATCATCTATAGTAGCAATATATTTTTGATAGAATCAATAAGACATTTGATGGTAAGTTAATTTTTCATCCAATTGAGATTTTATTTGAGAATTTTGTGCAATTTAAGACCTTAATTGAGCACAATTGAAGTTTAGATCTAAAATTGTGAATTTGGTGCAAGTTCGGGTCCTTATACCATACTTTTGCCAAGAGAAAACCCATTAATTTTGGATTCTCTCAGTGCAAATTGAGTCTCTGCAAAACCCTATAAATCCCAATTCCTTGTCAAGTGGAAATGTATTGTTCAAATCTCACTTCATGGGTCTCTTCAAGACCTTTAATTTCTAGCGCAAATTCACTCTCCAATCAATATGGCGAAATCCCACCTCTCCGGTTGCCTGAAATGTTCCCTGCAAACAATCGTTCTCAGTCTTCATTACCATTTACTCGGATTCATTGCGGACTCCGTCAACTGCGGAAACGAATTGATTCAGTGAAAAACACCCAGAAAATTACTGAAGCAATGAAGCTGGTGGCGGCTGCTAAGGTCCGGCGAGCACAAGAAGCTGTCATTAGTGGTAGACCCTTTGCTGTGGCTGTTGTCGACTTTCTTTACTCTTTATATCAACAGCTTCAATTGGAGGATATAGATTCTCCTTTAATGGACGTTAGGCCTGTTAAGAAAGTAGCTGTTGTGTTATGACTGGTGATAGAGGTCTTTGTGGTGGTTTTAACAATGCAGTTATCAAAAGGGTCGAGTCCCGGATGGCAGAATTGGAAGGTCTTGGATTGGATTACACTGTGATTAGTATAGGAGAAAAGGGTAATTCATATTTTAGGCGAAGAGATAATGTTTCAGTTGATAGGTTTATTGAAGAAGGGGGCTTTCCCACTGCAAAAGAGGCTCAAATAGTTGCTGATTATGTTTATTCACTTTTTGTTAGTGAAGAGGTTGATAAGGTTGAGCTTGTATATACAAAGTTCATGTCTTTTGTTAGGTCTGATCCGGTGATTCAAACTTTGTTACCATTGTCCATGAAAGGAGAGATCCAAGACGTGAATGGTAATTGTGTTGATGTTGTGGAAGATGAGTTGTTTAGGTTGACAACTAAGGAAGGGAAGTTGACAGTGGAGAGGGACAGAGTGAGAGCAATAAGGGAGGGAATTTCTCCTCTCATGGAGTTTGAACAAGATCCT